CATCAAACTTCTCAAACATAAATCCAGTGCGGAAGATGTCTCCCAAAACAGGATTCCCATTCAGTTCGATTTTGGAAAAGTGAGTGTACATCAACACGTTCGATTCCGCTGACGCCGAAGACGTTCTTCACCAACACAAAATGCATACCCACCGGCCACATAAGAGACCACTGGAGACCTAGAGATGAACCATGTCGTCAATAAAATGCTGCCGGTGTTCCATCTGTCTAAGCATGCAGCCATACTACTTTTTTGTGAGTGGAGCTTCCGCGCGTAGCGCACAGAATCGAGTAGGCCCATGACCCCATCTGTGACATGCCAGCAGCCCGACCGTCTATATACATTTCGTTGGACATGCATCACCACCCAGAACTCCATCTGTCCGGTGCCATCCGCGGGAGAACTACTCAGCTATGGTGTGGCGCGCTGCGGTCCGATCACGTGCCCGCTACCGAATCCGCAGCGCGCTCTGCTCCAAAAACACGGATCACCACATCCGGGACAGGTCCACTACGCCTGGTCATCTCAGGACAACCGGGGACGCACGCCACCCTCCCGCCCCGCACCACGAGAGGCCCACAATCGACACAAGGAGGCCGCGACCGGCGCTATCGAACGAGCGGTGGCACGCCCGGGGGCAAAGGTCGATTGAAACCCTGACCCCAGGGCGGACCGGATTTGCGGGACGCTGTCCCGTTTTTTTTTTACATGCCTTGGGACCTTTTCAGATGCTATCCGACAGCAGGGTACCGAAGGGATCCGCGCTGAGGCAATTCTTCAACTGAAGTGCTCTTGCTCAGTTGTTAAAAAAAGGAACAAACAAACGTCACTGGAAATATTTGTCACAACATAGGCATGTACGACTCGGAAACAACAACGAGAGCTTTGATGATGATCTGCAAGAGCAGACACAGACTACTCCACCCGTTCTCTACATCATCTTCCATCAAACGTTCCTGTCAACAATACTGACCATTGCTACGACAGGGACGCAGACGAGCCAGAAACGATACAATTTACCTAGTACCCCACTTTCATACCGAATTTACCATCCATCATGTAAATGCCTGATTCATTTATGACCTTCGGAATGCTGAGTTCACATGCCCTGCGCGAACGACACATTGGGCGCTATGGAATACGTGTGGGCCATGACGATAACGTCACGCAACTGCCCGCAGTGAAATAATGCAACATCCGTTTCATCAGAACTAATCTCTTAACGTTTGATTACAAGGATCAAACTACATTCATCACTTGCCCCAAAACAGGCTGCGTGTGTACGCTGCATCTCTCGTCAGGGCATGACCCTTTAATTAACGGCTCCCCCCGCAAACCTGTGGCAAGACAATTCACCCGAGCCCGGCCGAGGGACTTGACTTTCCTCACTGGGATCTCCAAATTTCAGAAGCCGTTTGAGAAAAACAAAGACGCTGTTTCGAAGGTCACGTCAAATCATGAGCAATGCTCACCACATTTTGAACTTTAGGTCGAAGTGAGGTCACCGGAGGCTACGAAAGGAAAAAAAGGTCGTCCAGAAGGATGCGGTTAAAACCTATGTTAAGAAGTCAAAACGGATACTGAATACGCGGAAATAAGCGTTCAGACTGTGGGGAGTTCATTCCGACCATTTATGTTCCCCAAATGGGTCAGGTCACCGTTCAAAATTGACCTACCAGTAGCCTACAAGAAAGATACTTTTCTCCAGGGTGCTTTTCATTACGTTTATTTTATTACGCGCCATTGTGGGGTATTGCAAGGCACAAGCAAGTATTGCAGGCACAAAAATACCACTGTAGGGTGGCCTGGAGGTCATCTGACGTAAACTTAGGTCAAATGTATAACCCATCGTAATGAAAAATTAGAAGTGTAAACTGGGCTTTTGTGACCAGCACAGTACTTTTTATGGTTTGAAACAGTGCACTGGACATCTACAGGTACCTCAGATCGCCTAACTGTTGTCTACATTATACACAGCCCCCTTGTCGCTTGGCAATGTATTTGTACCAAACTGAGAACAGGTGCACTGGTACACGAAATTATATGTCAACAGCTTCACAGGAAAACACGACAAGGGGGTGGTTACACACATCGCACTCGTTCATCAAGCCTCGCCGCTGCTGGCAACATACGCCATTGACCTCGGACGACCTCAAATAACCTTGCATGATCTATTGTGGTCTCCTGATGCGCTGAAACTATACCTCAACACGATTTCAGGGGTGTATTTAAATTCCGCCTTCAAATTACCTATCAAAACTGACGATTGCGCCCAGCACGTGTTTTGCAGAGGGAATCCATAGAGAAAGGCCATGACCCGGGCGAAGGTCATGTTCTCTGTCATGTGATGGTTGCGCATGCAAGTCAGTGCTCTTTTTCTCATATACAACTCCAAAAATACGCAAAAATACGTACAAACTTGCATCATGTACGAAAAAATAGCAGAAATTGACCTGACTCCAGATCAATGACCTTGCATTCTCCGAAAATCTGAAATATGGATATTTCCATGTTCTACTACTATACCAAGATTGAACAATAGAAAGTGACCAACATAAAGGTTGTGCGGTCAAAGCTTTCAAGATATCGACCTCTCTGACCTGTCCTTGATCCCTGATCTTCGTAGATCAAAACTACAAATTTGCACAAGGGACGTCTAATTGATCGATAAACAGGTGCTGAAAATTTCGTGTCGCTGCGAGCGCCTACTTTTACACAGGCTCGAAAACCGTAGGCCGGGGAAGCTAACTCCCCCCGCCCGAGCGCGGGTTAAAACGAAGTCGTATCACGAGATCGACTGCAGACCGGATTTCGTACCCGAGCAGTGACCAATTTTACCTTTGGGCCGCCTGGCCAGCACCAGCCATCGCGCTCTCTAAAATCTCATAACTATGCAACCAGCTATCACGGCGTCCAGTGGTTTTCAAAGAAAGGCGCAACATTCTTTACAACATGCCGTGTAAATTTTAAGGCATTAGCATGTAAGTAAGCTGTGTAACCAGTCTGCTTTCCCAGTGCCATTATAAAATCGCCAAAATATAGCCTTCCGCATTCAACAAGCTGAGAAATCACAATCATCCCTATTAGAAACAAAATCGTCCAGCATAGTTCGAAACCGGGTGCAGAGCTCGACGACACACCCACACAGCGACATCAAACCAAGGGGCTTCGACGGACGAGAGCATGGACAGCCGTACCGACAAAGCAACGTCGTTATGCTCAGCCGGTCACGTGCGCTTAATGAAAATCGTAGTTTAACACACCGTCTTCTGGTTCTGGACGTTGAAAAGCTAGACATAAGATGTTGGCAACAAAATCAGAAAATGACTTAACCAAGTGCACAGTGCACGGTGTGAGCGAATGTAGCATCGACAGAAACCGAGCCTTTATATATATATATATATATATATATATATATATATATATATATATATATATATATATCGGTAGCAGCCCACATAACATGTTACTTAATAGGCAGTGGAATAAAGGGATACCCTAGCCAGCGCGCTTTACGACCGGCGGCTCACGTAACCTGCGCTGCCCGGCATCAAGGGCATTCTTTCCCGCCGCAAGTTCTAGGAGGCAGTGGATAAGGCTATTGTAGTCGCCACGTGCCCGGCCTACCAGGACCCTTTCATCACCCCATCGTAAGCGCTGCGCGCCCCCAAAGTGTGTGACAGCCTGCGTGCACACTGCCGACCTGTCCTCCGCGTAGCCAGCCCGGCCTGCTTTCGTTTATGTGACTCAGTGTGTAAATGGCTGTGCTTAAATCGTGGCTGCACCAGAAATTTGGCGGATGTCTGCCGCTATTCCTGGTAATAAAAGACATCGGCTGCTAGCCTCCTGGGCGAAACCATCAACGTTATCACAGCCAGTGGCGACGCTTTGGCGAACAAGGCTGCTGAGATTGTCCGTAAACAACAGCCTATCTATAATCGATGATGATTTGGACTTTGGGGCACGCCGACTACAATGGTCATATGGCATACATGCCTTTCTATAATCAGAGACGTTCGAGTGTTATACTTGTCTGATACAGTCCGATAAACCATAAAGAAGACACTCAGAAGCTGCCCAAAGATTCCTTATCGCTGAATTTTTTAAACTGACTCCGTGGACAAAGGTTAGAGACAACACAAAAACTGCGCACGACACCACAGTCTAGTTACCCATCACTCAAACTTAACTGGCTTGATCAACACCATCGTCGGCACAAACAACGACACTACGTAAATACCTCACTATAAATAAAAACACAGACGCCCCAAAGTCAAGAACACTGCACGAGTATCTAAAAATGCGTACCGAAGGAAAACATGCGTTGAGTTCCTTCTAACATTAATGCATTGGTGCATTAAAATGGCCTACTCTCAGCGGAGCTGGCGCAAACCCGTCATCGGCCTCGCCCGCTTGTGCTTCTGCGATCCCAACGATCCAGTGAACACTCTGCACGCCGCAGACAAATGAGCTCTAAATACCGGATGCCCGTAGCCGACGGTGCTTTCGCGCTTTTTTTTGCCACCGAATCGAGCCGGACGACTTTCCCGACAAAGCCGGCGCATGCCTAATTCATGATCAGAGACAAGCCGGTTGGTAAGTAGCGTTTAGTAGACGAACCCACGTGAAATATTGATATTCATTCCGGGCCACACCAGCCGCTGTAGTTCGTACCACCGCGCCAGTACGGAGGCCGTCTCACGAGCGCTACCGGTGGCGGAGGCGGCGGCGTCGGCCCCGGGCGGCGGGGCGGGCCGCCGGTGACGTCGACCGCCGACAGGCCTGCCCGCCAGTGACATCGGGCGCCGACAGGCCTGCACGCCAGTGACGTCGACTGCCGACAGGCCAGCCCGCCAGTGACGTCGACCGCCGACAGGCCTGCCCGCCAGTGACGTCGACCGCCGACAGGCCTGCCCGCCAGTGACGTCGGGCGCCGACAGGCCTGCCCGCCAGTGACGTCGGGCGCCGACAGGCCGGCCCGCGGCGCCGTCGGTACTCACCACTTGGCGAAGCAGTCGAGACACCACATGGGTCGACAGTTGCACTCGCGGCAGGGGTTGTCGCGGCCGAGCATGCCGCACTGGCGCACCAGCCGCACGCCGGCAGCCGTCTCGCCGCACCCCACGCACAGCTCCAGATCCTGGCCGGCAAGCGCAGCCGGTCTTCGCAGAGCGTCACACACACCCACGCGGCTATCCTATCAGAGAGTCACGCACAGAGCTGCAGCCCCCGGGCGGCCCACCAGACGGGCACACGCACGCACGCACGCACGCACGCACGCACGCATGCACGCACGCACACACACACACACACACACACACACACACACACACACACACACACACACACCACACACACACACACACACACACACACACACACACACACACACACACACACACACACACACACACACACACACACGCACTGGTCAGCATGGCACACACCACCCCAGCTAGTGGGCGCCACACAGAGTGGCGTCACAGTGCGGCACACACGCCGAAGGTTGTCAGGGTGGCACACACCGCTCTAGCTCGTGGGCGGTCCGCGCAGGGTGGTCAGACGCGCAGCCGTCACACAGCTGCAGCTTCTGGGCGCTACCCATAGGTCGTCGGGGAAGGGGCACAAACACACGTGGGCGTAAATAGCCATTGCAGTTGACGTGCCCTTAAAACCCAATAACTAACAACACAGACACATATGGTCTTCACCACCCAGCGGTCCACCCAGGGCCATCACAAAGCGTCGCTCACCCCCGCAGCTCACGTGCGGACATCCACAGTGGGTCGGCTGCACACAGCCTGACACCTCCACCCAGTGGCACCGATACCACATCACGACACAGCGGCCGGCATACGACTGCAGCTCCCGGGCAAAACTCGCGCGGTCATGACAGGCCGCCGCGTACGGCTCCCCCTTCAAGAAAACACAGAGCGAGTCAACACAGAGCGAGTAAGTCTCTTGAACGCAAGACCTTCGACAACACACCGCGGGGCAGCGATCATTTCCGTCCCGATGGAGACGGCGCGCGGCCGACACGGTCTACAGTGTCGAGGAGCAGATAAACGCACCAAGAAGCCGCACGGGCCTGCCGACATGAAAGCGGTAGGGTCCACCAAACAATGGTTGTCGCGTCACATCTTAAGATACAGCGTCGTCTCCTGATCCTGACATGGTTGCTGTCACACGCTGGAACTGGATATTTAGTCAGTGCGCATGCAGCGCACTTTCTACCTTGCTGTTTTCATAAGATGACGTACCAGCGCCGTGAACCGAATGCCCCAATGAGAAAATATCAGTTTTGTGGTGCCTCTGTGGCGGCCGCAACTAAAAAACCGAACTTGGGGGACAACAATTTTCCCGCGTTCTAGAAATCCAAAACTTTTCCAGTCTACGATGTGCACATAGTATTCAACTATGACGACACGGACCAACCACCCACCAAACATCGTATACGTGACCGAAGTGCGGACGGTACGCGCTGCCGCCACATGACCCCACCCGTCCGGACCGGGGAGCAGCGCGGCCCGACCGCCCACCAGGGGCTGGTCACCTCCACTGACCTCTGTGACGACCACGGGCAGGTTCTCGTCCACGACCTTGCGGAAGGCGTCGACGAAGCGTTCGGTGAGCGTTTGGTGGATGACGATGTTGCGGAAGTTGCGCACGCGCCGGCCCAGCCGGTGACGCACCTCCGGCAGCTGGTCAGAGGTCACCCTGCCGACGCAAGGGCACGTCACCGCTGCTTCCGCTGCTGCCGCCGCCGGCGACATCGCGGTGTAGGACAGGTACCGGAGATCAAGGCGTCATAGGCCTGACATGGCGGGGCGGTAGGTGAGAATGGGACATTTCAAGCCCAACAATGTGGAAAAGTACCGCGATGCGCGGATCAAGCAAGGATGGAGGCGTGTGAGGCTCAGTATAATTGACAGGTGCCTGCCAATATAATGACAGGGCCTGGTAGCATAAGGCAATGAATGCCACGAGGGACGAAGATAAACATCGTATCATTGGCTTGGCTTCCGCTTCAGATCAGTGGCAAGCTAACACAAAACAGGACCACCTTTTACAAACTGTTGGTCAACTACCAACTGCACATGCCGTCATTCACATCTGTCATCTGCAAGCTCACAATAGCGCATAGCTTTTGCCAAATCCAAGACAGGAGCATGAAGCCAAAAAGAAAATAAGTAAAACAATGAACAATTTAATCAAAATGGATGCTAATTTCATAGCTTTGAAGTAATGGTCTGCAAACAAAGTTTTGATGTAGAGGCCGGCACCTCTACTCCACAGCACCGGAGGAATACTCCCCGAAGCTGTCGGCATTTTCGTACACAGCCTTTCGAAATTTCACATTCCTCTCTGTCCGCAAGATGTGGGACCAAAAGGTCATTCGCTTGGTACGAATTCTGACCACTCGATGCCATTCATCAGCAAAAAAGTTGCGAATCATGGTAACAAATGTAGCGAACGCACTCTGATGGGTTACACTGCATACAATCGCTTAAACACTTCAACGCCTGACACCGCAAACCCCACCAACTGCAGGTAAGCAAGCGACGTTTTTGAAAGTTCGCGTTCGCAACACAAGCGCGGGGAGCCAGAAAGCGTGCCTGATGACGAAGTCCGGTATGGTCGGCTTCATGCTGACCACACGACACGTGACGGTCTGAAACGTGCGCTCGCTGAGCACGTGCGGCTCCGAGCTGGACTCCAGGTCCAGGTACACATGGTCCACGTGGATCACGTGCACGGCGTACGGGGTCAGCTTCACCAGCCAGTTGTCGGTGATAATGACCCGATGGGCGGCTACAGCATCGGTCGCGAACTTGTCCACGCTGGAAGGGTCGAACATATGAGCGGTGTAAAGGAAATAGCAATGCGGGCCATTCGAAATGTGTAAACAGTACATAGGGCAAGGAAAAAATCGTATCGCTCGGGAAATGTACACTTGTTTTACCTCGAAAATATCCCAAACGAAACTGTTTAGACAACAATCGCGTGAATACCAGGTGCTTTCCATCGTCCCCAACCCCCCAACGCCCAGAAAAATGGTCTGCTGTTCGACAGTTTTCCCAAGCTGACTTCCGTCTTATTTCTCGCACATTCATAAAGCATTAATTGTACCTAAGCTGTTTTAAACTTCCCTGGTAGCTTCAAACATCATGGTGTCAGGGATTTCAACATGATACTCGACTGAGGAGACGCTCGAAATACTAAGTACGCAAATAAAGATAGCATTTGTAGAAAACCGAGCTGTATTCTTGGAACATCTGGCACGGTACATGCAAATGAAACCGAAACAACAATTAACAATCACGTCAGTGACTGCTGCAAAAATATTATAAAAAACTTGCAATCCGTAAATTGTAAGGGACCGAGAGCTTGACGTCGCTTTTAACTTGTGTTAAATTCTAAATCTGAATTTGTGGCGAGCGTTTGACCATCTTTATTCACACCACAATATCTTAAAAACAGATACACTAAGTAGACTCAAAACATTACCAGTTAGTGACAAGGGAACCTTGATAATCAAGTAACATCTGGGGTCAATTTTTCGGTCAAGAGTCTAAATTGGCTCTGCCACATTCACATACAACCTCTGCTAATGAAAAAGCTGCGTTCAGAGCAGGAATACCAGCAGGAGCAATGTTAGAAAGTGCCAGATGAGTGAGCTTTGACCTTACCATCCAAATGTGAAATTCTGGGTCAATGGCAGAACTTTGCTGTGACTATTTAACATCCCGAAATGCTCGGCACAGTTCGTCCTGCCCTCCCATCCGACCTTTAGCAACTTCGCTACCACCGGCCGCAGAACACCCTGGATAGAGGCAAATAGGGGCCGCACAAAGTGACTCGAACTTATCCCGCTACCGGTGGGTGAATCGGAAGGTGGGCACTCAGTCTAACTGAGCACTCAGACGGACACAAACGGACAAACACGCACAATGGAACGGCAAAATGGCGAGAAATACATGCTGTTTGGTTGAGTTTGAACACAAACCACAGCATATGGCCATCCACAATAACCCTGCATGACTGAACTTTTGTGCTCACACCAGAAAACTTTCTCACAAGGCAAACTCATTGTACAGGCATTGAGGGTCCAAAAGACATCTACAGGGGTGATAAGACTAGTGCCCTCAACATATATTGTTTGAATTCATCCAGACTTGTATATGGTGTCAATAACATCGGAATAGAAACTGAAATAACAATATCCTAAATCCGCAGATTACAATACATTTTTGAAGACCAGATTAACATCACTCATTCACCTTCTGAACTCCCTGTTGATATCAGCTGCCACCTCCTCCCAGATGCCTGTATCACTGTAACTGGTGAGCACCCTGGCCAGTGGGTGGGATTCGAAGTTGCTGTGCAGCCAACCAAACCACCTCAACATGCCAATCAGAGCCATCAGAAGGCTAATGCCTATGGCCAGATGGGCCCAGTTGCCAAGCAGCTTGGTTGTGTCTGCCATCCACCAGAGGCCAATGAAGTATCCTGGAAAATAATTCATACCATAACTAGCAGATATGAAGAGTAAGACATCACATATTGCAGCTTTACAAAAGATGAAATTCTAACACAGGCTTAAAAGGCAGTCCAAACCTTCCTAGCAAAGCAGCCTGCTGTATCAGAATGCCCAGGTGTAGGGATCTCTGGAATGGAAGAATACAGAGAAGATATGGAGCTCAAATATGATGAGAGCTTTCTGGAGATGCATGTACCTTTTAAACAAGGCCTTTTTTGGAATGTCTGGCAAAGATTGCTTTGTGATCAGTTTGTAATATGTATATCCTGCAACAAAACCATATCACCATTCAAATTCATACTACCATTTGCATAGTAACCTTTATCTAAAGTGCACCAAAGTATTTTCACATCCTTAATAATGAGAAGATACATGCCAGCCACTTGTTAGCCCTCACTATTGGAATTTGCAGTGGCATTATTTCTGTGTAACCCATAAAAGTGTCATAACACATGTTCAGATATGTGACTCACTTACCTACTGAAGGTAAGCAATGGATGGGTGATTATGCCTCAAGATGGTACCACCATCTTGAAAGCACAACCTGCCATTTTTATAACTGTAATGCCCTACTTACAATCTGCTGCTGAAATTATCTGCCTGATGGCATTCTGCTGATAGCCATAGATTACATCAAGATTTTACATGAACACTCCTGGTGTGCTATTCACATGGTTAACATGAAGTTAATGTCATTACATATTAAATTGCTATCTAATTATTTGGGCAGCACTGACACATGGCACCAAATTCAGCTTTAGATCACACATATGCATCTCCTTAATTTTATAGCATCACTGCAGCATTATCAAATTGCAAAACATCTCAATAAACCAAATTCTGGTCAAACAAAATCCTAGATGTGACACATCATCTCAAGAAAACAATGATGATGATGATTGGAATTTAAGAGCATGTCAATGTCAGAGGTTATTTTGCACCCTTATTTCAGGAAAAGTATGCTTACCCAAGGGAAGGCACAAATGTGACACAATGTTGCATGTTGTTCTCTTCATATGGTAGCTAATAAAATTGATGTGCTCAGAGCCAAAATATGAAGCAAAGAGCTTCTCTGCTGTCAACCCAGCTGATATGAACTCAGTGGGTGGGAAAATTTCACACAGTGAAAATACAAAATAAAACAATGTCCAAAGACCAGCAGATGAGTGGGGATCCATCTTAGCAGCTAAGCGACGTCCGAATCTATGCAACGCAATGAAAAAAAGATCACTAGACTGCGTGCCACGCAAAGCAGGCAAATCCCGTCCACTTGGCGTAACAGTTAAAATTTCCAAGACCCCACGTCCCCACGTCCTCATCCAGAAGCGTATAACGTAAGTGGACAACCAAATGTAAACAAAATGTTTCACTACAGCTCTATGAGCTATTCTTGCAAATCCACCATTTAACAACAAATCGTGAGCGAATATTTTGCTACTTGAGCATCATAAAACCTACGTAGATCAGAAGCAATAAAATAGACAGAATTGGCGCGTAACAGACATTTACGATGCTAACCACACATTCTGCAAGCAGGACTAAAATACTAACAGCCATAGACGAAATGATCGTTTGAAGAAATGAGTCGCCAAAAATCACTTTGAGGCTTTCATGAACCGACTCAGCGTGATGGAGTGAGAACGTCGGCGGCAATATAGTGGTGCTACTTTGGGTCAAACATCTTCAAAACGTAACGGCCGAATGTCATGTCCGCAAGCAGACAACGCATCTCAGGAATTCAAACGGTGTGGGGGCAACAAGTCGAATAGAAAATGTCCACAGAGAAAGTCGACGGGGATTCCAGTCGAATCGGAAAACGATCGGAGCTGGTAGAGCGTTGGACTTGCGATCAGAAGACTCCAGTTCGAGTCTCAGTATTTCCAGGAAAATGATTTGGTTTGACTACAGCCCCAATTATCTGCAGAGAAGAAGCTGGCTGCCACCAATGGTCGTCGAGCGGGCCCCTGGAGCAGGCGCGTTTGGCCGCCTGTGACGTTTGGATGCCTGTGACGTTTGACCGCCTGTGACGTTTGACCGCCAGTGAGGTTTGCGGCCGCCTGTGCCGCCTGTGTGTCCTTTGGAGAGAGGGCTGCTCCTTATCTGTGCAGGCAATGGCACCGAACCAGCCGGAGCTCGACGGGAGCCGGGCAACGCGTTCATCAAGATCATCGACGCGATTCCAGACCTGGAGGATGACCCGATCAGAGGGGACTACGACCACGCTCCCGTGTCTTAAACAGCTCTTCGGAAAAGGGCAAAGCTCCCTATTCAGTTGGGGATGGGGAGGGCTTCAGCTTCCCTGCCCAGGTTTCAGGAGAAAGTGAACCAACCCTCGCTTAGGTTCATTTTCGTGATGACCATTTTCACTGCTCAGACTCAAGCCTACTCTGTCAAACTATCTCTGTCCCAGCAGGCCGAGCTGGCCGGGCGCATGGCCACATCGGCGCCGTGTGCGCTGTCGGCGTTGTCGACCTTAAGCGCCCCGTTGGAGGCCTGACTGCGGCTGGCCTCTTGCTGCGGCCGGATGGCATTGAGGCACTGGTGGCGCGCGTACCGCGGCAACAGCGCCACCTAGGAAATGTGACTAGGCGTGCTGCGCCGCTGTTCACCTTGCCCGAGATGGCGCTCCGCTTCACCCGAAATGACGCTCGGGTCGTCGTGATTGAGAAAAATTTGTGCATCGGCGCTCTTGTGCGTTTTTTTTTAGGAAAAAAGGCGCATGTGGGAAAAGTACGTGCGCATAAAGAGGTACGCAATTGTTCGTAACGAATTCCACGCAAGCAAATGTTCGAAGCGGATAAGATTGGTTTGACAGAAATGCGTACGCAAAGGTTCGCAAACAACGTGGTGTATGAACGGGGCCATGTGTGATCTACCCAAAGCGAGAATGATGGAGATCAAGCCCATAGCGATGTATGGGGAAAATGGACTTCGGGATAGTGGATTACATTTCTAAGGAGAGTGTTTCAGGACGCATGGACCATCAGAGTTCCTTTACTCATCTCTCTCTCTCTCT